ACGATATATGCCATGCTTCCTGTGTCAGAGTTTACCTGAAACGTGTTCTTTGACTTGATAGGTCAAGTTGTTAATCATCCAATCAAAATGCTGGATGTTGCCAACGTGACCAAATTACCATAGCTCATTTAAATAATGTATGAACGCAACGCGGCAGAGATTTACCGATGTTTGCGATCTTTTGGCTTTGATTTTAGTGTGATTTTTTTTTTCAATCAAGAAATTAATTATTTTTGGAAAGTAAACTGAGCATTTAAAGAACAACTTTAAACTGTTTACTGTAATAACAGCTCATTTGAAACAAAACATTTTCACGTAGTTTTCGTGTTTATGGACTTACTGCGAAATTCGCTAAATTAAAAACCACACAGATATTTTGTACTTCTACAGTAAACCAAAGAGACATAGAGATTATAGACCGATTGTTAAATATTGTTAGAAACAAAACCAAATTTTTTGCATAAAAACCCATCGCACAGTAACAGTGGGGGACATACGCGATCACGTCTATCACTACTAACCGGTAACCGGTAGTCAATCCGCCGGCCGCAATTCACAATCATTATGTGGCAAAATTTCAACTCTGTCTGGTGGTTAATTTGGGTGTAAAATACGATATTTTCGTGGCACTGGCGCCTAATTGAAGGTGGTGCTTAACTGAAGACAAATACGGTATGTGTACGTTTCCAACACTTCCCTATGAATACCCGGTATATATGGGAAATGATCCTGCATCAATTTTTAATAGTTATTATTATTAAGCTTAACAAGCAAAGAATCATGAATCTGAAAGCTTGCTCGAAAGAATAAGAAATGAGTCAATAATCCTGCAAAATCTTCTATTTTTGTGAAGAGAATGCCTAGTTTTGTTAACACATTGCCTGCTGTAAGGCTCTACAGAATAAAACAGCATCAGCAGGAAGTATGTTGATAAGCACTACAGGTCAGCACATTGGTTGGTTCGCATTTTCCTCACCAAATAGAACGTTATACTCCTAAACCTAATATATCTGGTAGCCTCTGTGCTAAATGTTACCTAGTGCTAGGAGAATCAAACCCATAGCCTCCCTAATGCAATCAAATTATTGAAGCGATTCAACCACATTACAAGGTTAATGTATACTAAATATACCAGAATATATGTGAATGCTTTGTGTAATCAAGTTACCTACCCTATGTTCAGAGATGTTCACATAACCAGGGTCAGACAAACTGGCAAGAAAATAGAAGTTCATTGGCACTATCACACATACTATGTAGATGATTGGTATTAAATATTGACCATCTTTCACATCTTGACTTATTTCTGCAATAGAATTAAATTTAAATATGAAATTGTTATACCATATACATGTAGTAGTACATGTGCTTATGAAAATTACAGAAGTGTTTCAATGGTCAAAATTATATTATTATTTTAATGATTCAGTATAAATGCTATTTTTAGTCCCTGTTCGGACGAAGTCCGAAAACGGGAACTTGTAATTCGGTCTTCGTCCGTCCGTGCATCTGTCCGGAGTCATATCTCAGAATCCCTTGAACCGATTCTGTTCATTCTTTGCATGTGTCTAGTACTTTATGTGGGACATGTGCACATGCAATGGTTTAGCGATTCGATTCAAAATGGCCGACTGGCAGCCATCTTGTTTTTTGAAAATGTTGTATTTTGGACATGCTTTGTCAGTTTTCATTCAAACTTTGTACATAGGTCATACATGTTAGGATACATGTCCTGACCACCCATGAATTCCTGAGTCTGTCCGTCCGTGTGTCCGTGTGGGACATTTGCACATGCAGTGGTTTAGCGATTCAATTCAAAATGGCCGACTGGCAGCCATCTTGTTTTTTTGAAAATGTTGTATTTTGAACATGCTTTGTCAGTTGTCATTCAAACTTGGTACATAGATTATACATGTTAGGATACAGTACATGTCCATGATGATTTATTTCGTAATTGGATCAAAGATGGTCGACTGGCAGGCATCTTGTTTTTTTTTTATGCGGTATCTTGGACGTGCTCTGTCAGTTTTCATTCAAATTTGGCACATACATGTACTTTATACATGTTAGGATGCATGTCCATGACAATTTGTTTCAAAATTGACAGCCATCTGACTTTTGGCCTTACTACTATATTTCCACAATTTATGTACCATTTTCATTTGAATTTGGCACATACATCATATATATCAGTGTGTTTCATAATCAGATCAAAGATGGCCGAATAACGACTGTTTTTATTTTTGGCCATATTACTACTACACGAAACACATGTTTTGATATAAACAATCTGTTGTATACGCCACTTGGAACTCAAGTTTCAAGGACACGCTCGCGACAACCTCTCCGCTTTAATATGACGAGCACAAAGAGAACTTTCAAAAATTTAACTAGGACTGTGTCATTTTCAATGACTTGTTGAAACTGTTGTATGTTTACAATAAAAATTTTCACTTGACTAGATCACATTGCAAACTCTCAGTAGACCCGCAAAGCAGAGTAGAGAAAATACATGTAAGTAACTTTCTCAATTTGACAACCATACTGCAAAGACTCCTATTGTGTGCTTTGTCAAAAACTGGAAATTCACATTAAAAGTTAGCAGGTCTTGTATATTCTGCTTATCAAATCAAAATGTGCTGTGACAGGCAGACAGGTTGCTGGTTATAAGCCTGGTAACAGTTCTATAATATCATACACTGTAGCCGCGTTATAACAACTGATTGGGGGACATACAATTACTGGTAGTTTGTTATAGTGAAATGTTCACTATATTGAAGCACATATTACATTGGGTTTGTTGTAAGCAATGAACATGCTATGTGTTCATTATATCAGGAAATTCATTATAAAGGTGTTCATTATATTGAGGTTACAGTGTATTGTGTTTTGGGCAAATGTCAAATGAACATACACAATGTTTGGTAATTTGTAATCCTGGTATACATGTACTAGCAGTATCGATGGGCAGAAATTATAATCTTTGTAAATTTCTAGTCGTCATGTTAGGCTAGTGACTTATGAAACTCATAACTTATGAAGACATAAATAGGTAGTCTGTGTGTCTTGGTGTATATTGTCACATCTCCTGTATTTCCATTTTATTTCTTAATGATGTCAATGTCTCACTGCAGATATGATGCAAGATCATTATCAAATATTACAATGGAATTAATTAACATTGTTATACAAATTAGGCAATATGCTGTTTTCCTTTGAGATGATTTTTTTGTATCATCCCTACAATGTTCACTTTTTGAATTCTGGAGATACTAAGACTTGTGCACAAAGAGACACTCGCCACTTCTCTGGTTAAAAGCTAATGTTGAAGGGCAGCTTTATTATAAAAAACATGATCAGCACATGGTCAACATACATGGTGCAATGAGACTATCATGGCCATGATGCATGATTATGTAACCTTAACTCAATGAATAAAAATACATCATAAACTTATGCGGCTACTTGGAAAAATAAAGCAACATAAAAATGCATTTAGAACAACATTATTAATATAGTAAAGTCAAATATACTACAATTTCAAAACAATATCTCTAAACACAAAGATAGCTATGAGCAAAATTGTGTACATTCGAAATTGTTGCAAAATTGACATAGTAATCTTCACATACGGCATATTAAAACCAACATAGGGATAGATTGTGTAATGCTGCAGTCAATGTCACCCTATACCTCACAGAGGTTAGTGAAGATTTGAAATTCAGTATAGATACGTATTCCTACAGAAGAAAACTATAATACATGTACACATAGTCAAGAAACAGTGCACATATACTTGGTCCGTCTCCTAAAACAAGAAAACACTGTCTGTCTAGCATAGTTCAATTACAGCAAGAAATACGAGTGATACTATCTAATCACATCTTTAATCATAAACAAAATACAGCACCTGAGATTTCTGATAATCACAAAATGAACTTTTGTTGTTATGTACATGTACGCAAACGAAATTTTCCCTAGTATTTAGTAATATTAATAGTATAATAAACCTACCTGTATTTTTGATGAAAAATGTAATAACTACAGCAAGGGTTAAACCACAATGAATTGCTCTAACAAATACACTCGACGAAACAACCCAGAAAAGTTGTTGGTCTGCTGCCATTTCTGATAAATTTGATTGTTTTGATTCAGATTCTGGAAGACGAAAACGAATCAGAACACAGCACAGAGGTCAAATAAAGTTCGACTGTCACGCCGGTTCCCAATTTTTCCCGAAAGATTTTCGCCTCGCAAGGCAAGCAGATAATCAACAGTTTGTACCACACACCTCCATAGTCCAGAAAATAAGATAAAATCAAAGAATTTCATTAAATTTCACGCACAATCCATTTCTACGACAACGTTACTGAAGTCACGTTGCGTTTGAAAACACGCGAGAGTTGGCGCTGTAAGTCACGTCTTTTTTAGTATCGAATTCTTCGCATATTAACAAATGTAAATTCTTTTGAAAAAAATGACATATACCTGTCTATAATTTTCATATTTTTTTTATATATTGATAGAAATTAATTTATTCAAAAATAAGCAGCTTCTGGTTTAAATGAAAATTGAATTCTCTAGTATTAATTCTTCGCTACTTATTTTAGCGTAAAACAGCTGATCGCAGCTAGTTTCCGGAAACACCAACACATGTCCCAAAAGAGTGCACGAGTTTCTTTTGATAATGGGAAGATCCGTAGTTGCCGAGGAAAGCGTGCAGTTATTTATTGATGGCTTATTTGGTACTAATCAGTGGATGATAGGATTGATACTTGGCCAGGTATGATTTGAATTGTGTTTGATATGAAAAAGATCTGAACATATTGAATCGTGAAAATAGTAAATTTATTTGTTGTAAAATAATACAGTAATGTAGTAATGTTGATCATGACATACATATGTACAACCGGGTTGGCGTGGTGTAAATATTGGCAGAGGGCGCCACTCAGCAGAGCTATCATGCAAAACAAACAGACCCCCGCCCCGTGGGGGTGGGTATTTCTAATTAGGTAATTTTATTCACAATTTTTCATTGTAAGAAATGAGCATTCTCTTGATTTGTAATACTGACTTTTTCTTTTACTGTTGCATTTATTTTATAAACATATTGCTATAAACTGAAAATATTATTTCTAAGAATGCAATAAAGATATAATTATTATTAATTGGGCTGAAACACCTGTCAGTGGTTTATTGTTTATGTGATACATGCAATAAACTCATTCATGCTATGTAAACATTAATTATCAAGTTTGGATAAATATTGGGATAAACATAATCCGCCTTGACATTATACAAGTACATCCCACTAATGCCTAGCTACGATGCTGGTAAGGTTTTTTTACCCATTCAGATTTATGCAAATCTACTTCTAGATGATTGAAATGCTTACTTTTATCGGCAGATCACAATGAGATATTACTAGCACTGTAGCTAGGTGTTTTCTGTTGTTGTTGTGTATAATACCAGGGGGGGGGGGGGGTAAGTAGAACATCACAAGTAATACACCGGTAATGCCTAATATAGCTTTTATGATCATTTAATTCAGTATTTCTACTCAACAATATCATTGTACATTGACTATGTTTTGTCATCAAATTTTTTGGCAACAAAAATATTACATTATTTATTTGTAGTGAAGACAACAAATAATAAATGTAATAGTAATTTTTACTAAAATGTGTCCTTGTTTGGATCTTGATGAAGTTGAACAATAAAGAAAACAGGGGAAAAACAAAACAAAACAAAAACTTAGTGATGAACGGTGCAAAGTATAACATAAGATTTTATTTTTGGCCAAGTTCTTCAGAATTGGCTGTTAACTAAGTTATGCAGACATCACCTTTACTGTGTATACCAATGTCAACATACAGCTGATTCTTTTGTGGTGCTTCTATAGAACAGTTCACAGAGAGACTTTGCCATTGAACTTGTCAGGAGTCCCATCGATGATACTGGAGAAGATGATGAGAAAGGCCACACAGTGAAGAAAAAGAAGAAACCATCACTGGATACTGTTGATGAACAGTGGACTGCAGAACATGCTAGACAGGTAAACACACTCAGCTGTTGAATCAGAGATTTTTTTAAACAAGGGAACAGGGGCGCAGCACCCTTATGCCATGGCCATACGCCCCTTCCTTGGAAGCAGATCTTCTGGCAACCATAACATTCTGATTGACCAGGGATCACATGTTGTCATAGTCTTCAACTGTGACCTGTCTTATAGTAATTTTGGCTCCAAGGAAGCCATAGAATGCTCTATTTTAACTTAGAATTATCTAAACAAACTCTTGGTTGTATTATAGGAAAGATGGAGGAGTGGGGTGGAATGGAAAATAAATTCTGGTTGTCATGTGTTCTTTTGACACAATCCATATCAGTATAGAGGTAACCAGGGTTAACCAGTCCTGATTTCCTGTTATGCTCTTTCGAAAGTTTTTACCATTTCTTTTTACAAAATGGCTGCCATCTGGTGGTAGTACATGTAAGCTGGGAAGCTAAAGTCCAAATTTCTGTGAAAATGATCTAGTTACATTGTACCCAAATAAATTGATATTTTTATGGTAAAATTATTGAAATACCAAGAAAGAAAAAAGTTCATGAAAATTGTCACAACGATTAGAATATACTGTAGAACCATTTATTTTCGCTGACATTCAATTTCACTATTTTGATGTTTTGAGCATTTTCACTGGGGTTAAAGTTCATGAACTTGGCACGGGAACAATGAGTTCTATTGTTATTCTAAGTTGACATGGATTTAATTTAATAGTGAATTTCACTTACATATCAACAAAAATAGCGAAATTAAAAAAACAGTGAATAATTAAGTCTTTTGCAGTACCATTTGTTTGCTATTGTTTTTTTTTCAAAAATTGTCACTAAGCATTACGTCATATGATTAATTATTCATGAAGACGTTTCGAACAAACGAATGAGTAAACAAAAACTAAAATAATGATGCTTTTATTACTTCAAATATTTTTTCTGTCACTGAAAATGACAGCAAATTAATGCAGTGGGGTTGAAAATGTTGGTATTGTCTTCACATGTACTCGTTTTATCATTTCCAGTTTTAGTGAGATTTCGTAAATATGACAAACACTATTGCTTTGACCATCAAACCTAATATTATCACTGTACTCAGGTATCCAGGATGTTGCCAGGGGGAATATCAGTGATTGGTGTCGTTGCCATGGCCGCACCTGATGTCATGACAAAGTCTCAGGCGAAACTAAGACAGGTAATGTTTGCAATTCACAAGACTGTAACCAAAGGCGATGTTCTTCTCAAAGATGCTGATGTAACAGAGAGGATATTATTACAGATATGTTCACTTACAAGAAAGTATCCTTTGTGTAATGAGTACATGATCATTATGAATTATACAAGTAAAAATCATGCTTGGTCAAATTATTCAACATCAAAAACTGAAGATGCAATCTATATGACCAAACTATATGACACATTCCTGTTGTGAATTTCAGAACTACTGTTGCCATTGCTTGAAACACAAGGTTTATTCGTGTCAGACATGTGTGTAACAAGCCATTGAATGAATTAATTAATCATTTTTGAACAAGGTTCAATGTCACTGTCAATGTTTTCATGTGGGATAGCGAAGTTTTTCATTTTGATATTACGTTTTATGGAGGATAGCGATGTGTTTCTTGTTTAATACTAGTGTGAGCATAGTAAACATTATGTGTTAGTGTCAGAGTAGTGACCACTAGCAACAAAATGTATGGAGTAGTAATATTAAATTTCCATAAAGATGTACAATTAACATTGTTATAATGGTCAATGCAACAACGTATTTAAAAATTTACATGCTTACAGTGTGTTCACTTAGTTGCAATTATCTTTGACAATCTTCTAAAACATATTTTATGAAGTTTAACAAACACTGTTGATGTTAAACTTCATTTTATTTGAATGGTCTCTTTTATAATTCAGTTTTCAACGATGAATAGCAAAGTCATCATAACATTGAGATCAGTAATTATCCTAGGAATATTACAATGTTTGTGTAACCATTTTCATTTCCATGGGAACCTATTTTTACATCCTGTGTAACATGACATACAATAATATAGGTGTCCTCTACTGTTCATGTTCGGGAATTGAGTCCTAAGCAACAATAACAACGCAAAAAAGCTTATGTGTAGAAGTCTATTTGTGAACAACAACATGCTATGTAAACAACAACACGCTATGTGAACAACAACATGCTATGTGAACAACAACATGCTATGTAAACAACAACATGCTATGTGAACAACAACATGCTATGTAAACAACAACATGCTATGCGAACAACATGCTATGTAAACAACAACATGCTATGTAAACAACAACATGCTATGTAAACAATAACATGCTATGTGAACAGCAACATGCTATGTAAACAACAACATGCTATATAAACAACAACACGCTATGTAAACAACAACATGCTATGTAAACAACAACATGCTATGTGAACAACAACATGCTATGTGAACAACAACATGCTATGTGAACAACAACATGCTATGTGAACAACAACAACATGCTATGTAAAAACAACATGCTATGTGAACAACAACATGCTATGTGAACAACAACATGCTATGTGAACAACAACACGCTATGTGAACAACAACATGCAATGTAAACAACAACATGCTATGTGAACAACAACATGCTATGTGAACAACAACATGCTATGTGAACAACAACATGCTATGTGAACAACAACACGCTATGTGAACAACAACATGCTATGTAAACAACAACATGCTATGTGAACAACAACACGCTATGTAAACAACAAAATGCTATGTAAACAACATGCTATGTAAACAACAACATGCTATGTGAACAACAACACGCTATGTGAACAACACGCTATGTGAACAACAACATGCTATGTAAACAACAACATGCTATGTAAACAACAACATGCTATGTGAACAACAACACACTATGGCCGTTGGCCGCATATACAGGTGATGTCTGCCCTTCTTTAATAACAAATGTATAGGAATATCTACTCATTATTATCATACTTCACAAATTACTTTTCCTAAATATTACTTTTCAGAACAACTTGTAGAACAATTGATGTTTCTGATCTTAAGGTAAGATACAAACAATTATTACCAAGTTATGTCAAAAAAAAATTAGTTTCTGCATCACATTATTTGAGGATTTTTTTCAGAATTTTAGAGAGCAAACTGACCAGAAGATTTGTTAGTCCCTGTTTGAGTGAAATTCAAAACAGGTACTTGGTATTTGTACAGGTATTTGGTCTTTGTTTATCCGTTCATCCATCATATTTCAGAACTCTGTGGACCATTTATGTACATGTACACTCTTTGCATGTGACGAGTATTTTATCTGGAACATATGCACATGTACTAGATTCAATCGAAGATGGCTGACTAGCAGCCATTTTGTTTTTTGATAATATGGTATCTTGTGCATGCTTTGTCGGTTTTTGTTCTGACGACCATCTTGCTTTTTTACCATACTACTATATTTCCAAGGTTTAGGGACTATTCTCACTCATATTTCGCGCATACTTGTTTTATGGTAAATGTGGTATCTTGGCTGGATTTGTTGATTTTCATTCAAATTTGATACAAGCATTATGCATGTTGAGATAGATTAGATTAACAGATGGATTTTATTCAAACTTGGTACATACATTAGACATTATTGGTCCTTGATGCATGTCATTTTGTTTTTCAGATCGGATTCAAAATGGCTGACCAACGGCCATTTTGTTTTAATGAATGTGGTTCTAGTGTTGTATCTCTGGCATGATTCAACTGATTATGTTCAAATTTTTAGCTCCGCTGTCGACTTTGTCGAGCGGAGCTTATCATATGAGTGATTGTCCGTCGTCGTCCATCGCCGCTGTTCGTCGTCCGTGTCAATGTTTTACTTTTTCGACTTCTTCTTGAAAACTACAAGCCTGAATGCTTTGATACTTGGTGTATATGTACCTTGGGTAGACCTCTCTCAGATTTTTTCATTTCATGATGATATCTTCAATTATCTAATTTTGGTGAATATTTTTGTCATTTTTGGTAAAAAGTGATATTTTCAACTTCTTGTTAAAAACCGCAAGTCCAATTGCTTTGATATTACATATATAGGTACTACATGTGGACCTCTCTCAGATTTGTTCATTTTGTAATGATATCTTTAATTCTCTAATTTTGGTGAATATTTCTGTCATTTTTGGTAAAAATCTATATTTTCGATTTCTTGTTAAAAACCGCAAGTCCATATGCTTTGATATTACATATATAGGTACTATATGTGGTCCACTTATAGATTTATTCATTTCATGATGATATCTTCAATTCTCTAATTTTGGTGAATATTTTTGTCATTTTTGGTAAAAAGTGATACTTTCGACTTGTTGTTGAAAACCGCCAGTCCGATTGTTTTTATATTACATATATAGGTACTACATGTGAACCTCTTTCAGATTTGTTAATTTCGTGGTGATATCTTTAACTATCTAATTTTGATGAATATTTCTGTCATTTTTGGTAAAAAGCGATATTTTCGACTTCTTGTTAAAAACCGCAAGTCCATATGCTTTGATATTACAAATATAGGTACTATATGTGGACCACTTATAGATTTGTTCATTTCATGATGATATCTTCAATTCTCTAATTTTGCTTAATATTTTTGTCATTTTTGGTAAAAAGTGATACTTTCGACTTGTTGTTGAAAACCGCCAGTCCGATTGTTTTTATATTACATATACATGTGAACTACATGTGAACCTCTTTCAGATTTGTTAATTTCGTGGTGATATCTTCAATTATCTAATTTTGATTTTTGTCATTTTTGGTGAAAAGTGATATTCTTGAATTCTTGTTGAAAACAGCAAGTCCCATTGCTTTGATACTATACATATTGTTCATTTTCTAATAATATCTTCTGTTCTTTTATTGAAATATGCATTGCTAACAGCGGAGCTATCTCAGCCGACTGGCTGCTTGTATATATTCATTATTTCATAGATATACAGATGTCTTCAAAATATTTCTCAATATGGACAAGTACTTTATGATCAGATACAAGATGACTGAATGTCAATCATTTTATTGATAAAAATTCATCATAATCAAGCTTCACGATCCATATCTCCGACATGTATATGTTCAAACTATATTATTATAAACAAAACTATGTATCTTAAATTTGATAACTAACGGGCAATGTGCCATGCATGGCATGTTTACTATATATTTAAAGAGCAATGTCACATTGGATCCATGACTCCTTGTGTTTTCTTTTTAGAGTACTTTCCGACCAGCCGAATTGAAGTACCAGTCATTTGTTAACCGTTGGTCGCAGTTAAATACTCAAGTGTCTGTTAATGTAAAAATACCAGTTATGAAATCTTCAAGTAGAAGTAATTTTCAAAAACAGATACAAGTAAGGTTCGGGGTTCATATTTTCATCATGCATGTATTTGAATGCTGTTTTACAATGGCACCCTCTATGTTAAGCCTTGTGAATTGCCAAGAATGGATTGCTGGGGCAACGAGTATCATCAGTTGGACACAGATAATTTACTGCAGATGGTTAGCATGTATCAAATAGAAATAAACCATTTCTTTATGCTTTAGTTATCATGTGATATGACATAGATATGAAATTGTAATGACTTAAAAGTTTTTCAAACACAAGCAATTGAAATATATTCAATTCTTTCAGCTTGGTGTTAAATCATGGTGTAAATCATTATCACAGTCATTGTGTCTTCTGAATGGCAAACTGAAAAAATTAGATGAGTTATTGGACACCACACAAACACATAAGGTGAGTTCAAGATCATTTGTGAGTACCAGTATTAGAATGGATATTCAGATATTTGAACTATAGTTTTATTTATATTGTTTACAAAACTGACATGAAAACATATGGTCAGGGAGCAACAAATAGCTGGAAATACCATGAAAGCAGTAATGTTTGAGCCATTTAACATTTTGTCATATCTGAAAATATTGTTTGGTGACACATAGTGAAAAAAACAGTATGTTTTTATAAGATGGGTAATTATTCTATTTGTCACAAATTATTAAGAGATTCTGGGGAATACTATGAAATAATGATTTTATATGGATTCCAATGGAAATTGTTCCAAACATGCCCATTTTCAGCATTTTTTCACACTATTTTCTTTAAAACCATGATTTGTACGGCTAAAAATTATATTATACCAGTGTATTGATCGGGGGGGGGGGATTGGCACGAGAACGCACCATCCGATCTGAATGAAACGTTTCGACGTCAGTCGTCCGTAGCCCATCGTCAAAGCAACAACGTCCTGTTTACAAACAGATGAAATAATTTCAGCAATTTCTTTACAGAAAAATCCTCAACAAAACTTAGAAACATTTCATAGACAAATACAGGCTCCAAAATTATGTCTATTGCAAAACAATTCAACCGACAACCAGTTTGACGCCACAATTTCTTGCTGGAGCCCGAGTTCTACGCGTGATTTTATTGCGTTCAAAACTGTTCCATTTCAAACTGCGCATGCACACACACTGTGGTTTCTCGAAATGCATACTAATTAGGTAACTTGTCACTGATAAAAGTCACCGAAAACATTTTGAGCAATAGTACTAGAGTGAAATTTAAACGTGCCTCTGCATTCTCCATGAATATCGCAACTTGCTATGATCATGGTAAAGAGAAAACCTGTGCTTACTTTCAACAGTTAGCTGGAGTCCTGATCGAAAACGTGTCTCAAAAAATACTTTTACATCATTTGCCCGATTATTTTTTCAGCTCGTAACGATAGAATCAGTCAATTTAGAACTAACATGTATACTATCGGAAAGCATTTTGGCACAATTTTACTGAAAAGACGAGTTTTCCATTGCTCATGAATATTATTTTATGCAAATGAGACGATTATTTCAACCAATCGTGTCATGCAAACCCCCCCCCCCCGATATTGATGGTGTTAATCCATCGATTTTATTGGTCCGAACACAAAATTTGCATATGCAATTAATGGTATATTGGCTGATAATGCATGGCTAAACCAAGTGGCCCTGGAACATGAATAGACTACAGGCTTAATAAGGAAATACATAAAACCGGTAGTATTTGATTTTTAGGGAAATATAGTGGTTGAATTTTGAAAAAATATTGAAAAAACATCACACTAAAAACATCTTAAAAATTATATAACCATAATATTGCTTTTGTTAATGGTCGGGATCCAAGTTGTAGGGGTCGGTCGTTGGGTGATTGTCGATCGCCACACAAACCTAAACCATCGTCCCTCAACACCGCGAGGTGCCTAAACGAATGCCAGAACGCTGTGTTCTCCGTGTTGTGACTTTGAAATGGATTGCGAACCTCCAACAAAGAAAACATGATCTTTAAGTTTAACTGGTGACCAACTAGATGAGATTGAGGGATTGAAGGACGAAAAAATGCAAAAAACTACAAGTCACAGGCAAAAATGTATGCCACCAATAACAACCAGTTTCCAGTAGCGGCATTCAAATTCTAGCTGACAAAATTGCAGTGAAATTGCACCCGGGTAATTGCCATCTGTTTCAAAAAACACGGGACAACGCAGGATTCGACGACGATATATGGTATTGTAATTTTCCACTATGGGTAAATAAATACAGGAGATGATGAATGTAATTTCGAATGCTGCAGATTTGTGCCGAGTGTACACCAACCACTGCATTAGAGCGACGTCGTGCAAAGTCTTTCTTTCGGCCGGAATTGAGACAAGGCATATCATGTATGTGTCACAAAAACGATGCGAGAATCCGATCTTACACCATCAAACTTACCCCAGAACAATGACAAAACTTGTCAGGCATACTGTCACAAAATTTTGGTTATACCAAAGATGTATCCAGGTCAGATGTTGGGACTGAGGTCGCCGTGCCGGTCGCCATACATGATACACCACCCGACTGCGTACCGCGCGTCACAAACTTGGGTCGAGCCAAGTACCGCTGAATGTCAAATTATCCACAGTTACAAGTAGTATGATGAGTCACAAAACCGGTTTATTTCACAACTGAACTTTCAATGGGCAAATTACAGTCCAAATTGTACAAAAACCGGAATGAAAACGTGGAAAATCCGCTGTTTTAATGATCCAAACTGTACACGATCCTTTATTTCAAATGGCGTTGACGCGGTCAGTAAAAGGTCATCTTTTGTTATGCTAATTTTTGTGTTTACGCAGCTCTATTCACTGGATATACGATTCGTTTTCATGCGAAATAAAAATCATTTTGTAGTCAATTTGAACTGTGTTGCATATGATTTTTATGTATGCATTCAGCGTACAACTACATACTCTTCTCATAAATATTCATGTTCAAGGGCCATAATCATGATCTTATAGTAGATGCAAGAAAACTCTTTTTTTTTTTTAAGTTTTATCGAATTGTATAATATAATAGCAATAACCCCCCCGCCGAAGACGGATAAAACCACTTGATATTGCACAATTCACTCCATATATGCACTCGCCTGTGGCTCAACATATTTAATGAGTACTTTAGAAACGTGAATTTCCTGAAATTATTCTCTGTCTGGTGGCAATCTTGACATACCTATATACTAAACACAATCATTCAAATTCAGGAAGATATTCACTAAATTGTATAATTGTTTTATGTCTGTTAGAGACTCTTAATTAAGTATCTATGGTTACATTGAATTTACTGAAACATTCACAATTATATATAAGTTTGTAATTTTTATTTCATATTTGTATATCTCTCTGTGCTGATAATCAGTTGTTGGCAGGATACCCTTGTAACCATGGTGAACATACACATGTGGAATGTGACTTTATTTAAGTGTGTGTTTTGAGTGGTTCTCTAGTAAACTTTTATTTAGTTTGTTTATTATTTGCCATATATTAATTGTTTTCTAATAGAAAAAAGGAGGATCAGCAGTTAGTGGAAGTGGACCACAGAATTTTAAAGTAGCTTTTCTGTTGCAGAATGTGAGTATTACACTATACATGTAGGTGTGATTTAGTGAGTACTTTCATCACAAAAAATAAAAAAAATGCTATTATAGTATTCTTCACACTGGCCTAAGAGGTACACCTTTTTTTTTTACTGTTCTAGCATGTACTTTATTTCTTATCTCATGAATATTTTTTTCATTCTATGTTGTACATATAACTACAAAACATGAGAAACATGGCCTATAATGGTAATTTTCAAAATTATTTTTCAAATGCTCAAAAAATAGATTACCGGTAATGTTTAAAAATGTTCTTGTCAATTGCATTAAATATCACAAAGATGAAAAATAAACTGTTAAATAGTGCTTTACTACTAAAAAATAATACATCTTACTATTTCTCTCTCAGAATTCAGCAAATACTACTATAGAGAATAAAGTGTGCAAGTCAATGATAATATTAAGGGGAAGAATCTCTGCCAAGTGTTATATGAACAATAAAGCTACAGTCGGTGAAGCTGTAGAGGTAGGAGTAACACATGTGTTTGTCAATATTCCCAGATTTGTGCGACATCACTTCCAGAACAAGCTAAAAACATGTGATGTTTTGTTACAAAGTAGATCCTGTAATAAAATAAGCACCTTAGAACATAGCGATTCTCCCATCATGCATCTGAAGCTGTTACTGCTTTAATAAATGAAGCACCTTAAAACATGGCGGTTCTCCCATCATGCATCTGAAGCTGTTTCTATGTCTTTTGTTTAATTTGTTTTAATTTTTGCTTGATTGATATATATGACTTAATACCAAAAAAGAAATTTAACATTTTCTTTAAGGTTTCAATAAAGTTCTATTCTATTCTATTCTATTCTATTCTATTCTATTCTATTCTATTCTATTCTATTCTATTCTATTCTATTCTATTCTATTCTATTCTATTCTATTCTATTCTCCATTCTATCTCACTTATCATTTGATTGTCTGCCAAAATAAACTCTGGCAATCCAGAAGTACTGTATTTGCCTTACTAGAAGCGCATCTGCAATAAAAACTTACGTACACCAAACACTACATTTATTGTTTACTGGACCATTCAAAGATGACATTGGTACATGTACTATGTTAATTTCCCAATAATTACCAGTTTTGGTCAACATTTTTTTAAAAATATTGAAACAATTATGTAGGTTTATTTTCTTTGTGATAAAAGTTGATATTATCACACAAAGATTTCATATGTATACGTTCATGTTCCAATTACCGGTAGGTGAATACTTTCAGCCAATGTATTTAATAATAAATGAATTGTTCTGAACATCTGTAGTTTTTCACTGTATACTTATATAGCATAACTGGACATAAGCTGACATTCTTCTATTCCATGAAATCTAGGCATTAAAAGAAGATGTTATTCATAGTTTATTGTCAAGATGTGACTTACTGTGTGAAGATTTACAACAGACAGAAGATGGTAAGATTTGTAATTCTAATGATTGTGAGAGAAAACTTAATTCTTTAAAGGTACATGTATGGTAGGTTACTGTTAAATGATCTTGTTCTGTGCAAGATTGGCCAGTTGGATAATTCAGAATTTACTTCTGAATTTATGTTGTCACTTACTATTTGTTGAAAACAATTTTTCTTTCACTGAAGACATATAAAAATTCAAAAGTTTTAACTTTATAATTTTAAAAAATACTTAAAAATTGCACTTGGTTGATTAGATTTCTCAAATTTGAAAATGATTTGATAAAAATGTATTGAGTTATTATAACCACAAGAAGAGGACAATTTTAAGTGAAAAATGTACATAGAACATGTACCATGAACTTGGCTGAGATCCTAAACTGGTTAATATCCAAGTTTGAAAGAAATTAGATAAAAACTGTTTGCTAATTGTGGTTACAATAATAAAGAGTCAACGATGACAAAAATAACAAAGAGGACAGACATTTTCCCCTCATATACCTTGACCTTCATCTATGATATGATATGGACAAGGTAGTAAATACAAATATAACTAAATATATCATGAAATGAAAATTCTTTTCAATATGTAACTTTTACTCCATTATTTTCTTATCACAACTATCGGTAATTATTATTGCTATTAACTGATAAAAACATTGTAAGGATGAAGTAAATAACCATTCTTGAATATTCTCTTTTTCCCTCTCATTGTCTCAGACATCATAGACATTAATACAACTCCACGGCGAGTGTACGTTCAGATGCCAAGATCTCAAATAGAAATCAGCGATTACATGTTTCCAGATGAGTCAACACAAGATTGCGTAGGCCGAATTCAAGAATTGCTTGATTTTCAGATCAGTCCCGATGAACTTAAAATAGACATTGAATCACTGCCTGGTATGTATATATATATTCATTCAGTCCTCATCTGGGCCGTCTGGTGCTTGAGGCGAAACAAGGAGTCTCAAGGGACAGTCTCATACTCCTGAGCTCCTTTTCTATTGTTCTTCTCCAGGTTTCTCTTGGCAGACCTCGGTTTATCCTCCCTTGAGGCGTCCAATATAATGATCTTCTTTGGAGAGAAGATGATGGCATCCAGCACACATGTCCCAGCCATCTCGATCGTGGGATTTGAATGGTCTCTTTAATTTATGTTGTTGCTGTTCTTTCCCGGAGGTTTTCGTTTGAGATGGTGTTTGGCTAGAATATTCTAAGAATACTACGTAGGCACTTATTTTGGAACACTTCTAACTTTCTTTCGATGGAGGAAGTGGTTTTCCAACACTCCGAGCCATATAGAAGGATGCTCAGGACATTGCTCTTGAAAATCTTGATCTTTGTGTGGATGCTAAGTCTATCAGTTCTGATATACAAAAAAAATGTATTGCAGTCAATACTGTATATTGCAAAAGGCTATCAGATTTCCAAAAACTCTTTATTGAGACTGAAATCCATGTCATTCTAATCAGCATATTCACATATTCAAACCCAGGCACAATGAAACCACGATTGTTTGCACAGTACCCAAAACCAATTAGTGGCTGTCCCGCCCAAATCATCAAAATGTGAGCCACAAAGTTAAAAACATAGTCATAGGACTATTTTTATACTGCATAATACACCAGACGGCTGTCAATAGACAATAGATAGAACTAGCCAATCAGTCACTACGACTATCATAATAGCGACCTCAACATAAAGAAATGAAACTGATCTCAACAATAGAGGGCTCCAATCACAATAGAAAGGCATATGATTTGATATATATTGTTTATCAATTTTACCCATTAACTGTACCACCCACCTAACCACTTAATGTCATTGTACCATTCTTTACACCACACACAGACCATTACATCATGCAGTCATTACACCACTCTGCCATATCATACCAGTGTTTATCATACTTACTACCATTACACCATGTAGTCAATATTCCACATTTACACCACTCACTGCCATACCTGCCTTTACACCACATGCACTGCCATTACACCATGCAGTCATTACACTACTAACATTATACCATGCAGTCATTACACTACTAACATTATACCATGCAGTCATTACACTACTGACATTACACTATGCAATTATTACACTACTGACATTACACCATTCAGTCATTACACTACTGACATTACACCATGCAATCATTACACTACTGACATTACACCATTCAGTCATTACACTACTGACATTACACCATTCAGTCATTACACTACTGACATTACACCATGCAATCATTACACTACTGACATTACACCATGCAATCATTACACTACTGACATTACACCATACAGTCATTACACTACTAACATTACACCAATTCACTACGTTCAATTACCCACCATAGACTCCGGTCAGTCAAAATGACTATTTTGAACTGTAGGCATTAATCAGCGATTCTGCCGGTGACGGAGAGATAGAATCTAGGTCAGGGGAAGCCCCATGACCCCAAGATTCTTTTACCCCTTATGTCACGAACCCACGTGACCGAGG